CCTAGGAATCGTATTGACTCCAAACTAATTCCATGCATAAACAAAAAGATTCTTTAACGTAAAACTAATTTTGTGCAGCAACCAAAGGAACAATTCTAGACTGACATCCTGCAAAGGGGAGGGACAGGGGTGGGGGGGGTGGAGTCACATGCAGGTCTATAAATTTAAAAGGTTATGGCTAAACACTCTGTCTTTAAGCTGAATAACTAGTTGCCATTATGATGTATTTATTCTAAACACATTATCAAATAGGATACAAAATGTCTGAGGTGATCTCAGCTATTTATATATACAATTGACCCTCCATAGTTGATCACCTCCCTACACTGACCACCTCCTTAAGTTGACCTCGTTTTCATACACTGGACATGCACCACATGAAAATATCAGCACAGTAGGCCTAGTTCAGTGGTTCTCAACCTGTACAGGTCTCAAACCCTTTGGGGGTGGAACGACCCTTTCACAGGGGTCGCCTGCACATCAGATATTTACGTTATGGTTCATAACAGTACCAAAATTACAGTTATGAAATACCAATGAAAATAATTGTATGGTTGGAGGTCACCACAACATGAGGAACTGTATTAAAGGATCGCAGCACTAGGAAGGTTGAGAACACTGGCCTAGTTTCTTATGTTGACCACCTCCATATGGTGACCAGCTTGTTATCGTCCGTTATGTGGTCAATTTACAGAGGTTCTACTGTATTATATACGCATAGATATCTACATGTATATTCTAGGATATAGTTTTTAAAAGTAGCAGTTGCCTCTGGGTGGTGGAATAAGGAAGGCTCTCTCCAATACATCCTAATTTTCTAAAATGCACACATACCATATTTATGTTTAGATTAAAATTATAATATAAAGTGCATTTTACAGTCAACCTGATTAAGTGAAATGCAAGCAGATAACCTGAAAGCCTTTCAATAAAGAGCACCAATTCCAGGTGATGGTGAAAATAAAGATATTACACAAGAAAAGAATAAGGAGAAAGGAATAGAAAGAGAGACAGAAAAAAAGGCTTCCTCCTCTGCTGGCTTCTTTCAATGAACAGTAGCTTTCAAGCAAAAACCAAGTCCTATAGAATAGCACAAAAGGAAGGTTCCCTGCTTACTCCACACAAACACAGCCCAGGGGCCTCTGAGCTTTGTAGGGCCAGACACGGCTCTATCAAAGCCTAGCCATCTGGAGCAGGTACGGGGGACATTTTAAGGTAAGCTGAGCAACTTTCACAGGATGTGCTCAGTGACGAGACAGACCTGTGCAGAAACCACATCTGTTTGGTTCCCTTCTCACCGACTCCATGCCCTTGGAAGGTTGTCTGTCCTGCACATGAATTCCTTTAGATCAATGGCTAGACAAGGCCAAACTTCCCCCAGAATCCAGGGGCAGCCAATTTAGGGCAGGGGTGAAAGCGCTTGCCTGGTGCCTGATGAGCTTACACCGCATCAATGTCTTTGGGGCACTGACAGACCAGGAAGGCAGAAAGCATCCCCATCAGAGAGCCAGAGTTGCTGACCCCAAACTCCTGGGTTCCAGCAATCCTCTTGCCTCAGCCTCCCAAGTAGCTGAGACTACAGGCTCCCACCACAGTGCCCACCTAGGTTTTCTTTCTTTCTTTTTTTTTTTTATTGTTTGGGATTCATGGAGGTACAAAGAATTAGGTTACACTAATTGCATTTGTTAGCTAAAGTCCCTCTTATAATTGATTACCTGAGCTCAGGAGTTGGAGATCAGCCTGAGCAAGAGTGAGATTCCCCACCTCTTTCTAGTTTTAGTAGAGATGGTGTCTCACTCTTGCTCAGGCTAGTCTCAAACTCCTGAGTTCAAGCAATCCAACCGCCTTGCCCTCCCAGAATGCTAGGATTGCAGGTGTGAGCCACTCTCCTCACCTTCTCAGCAAATATCTTATTGAGGCACTGTGCAAAAATTATTGGGATAAAAATGGAACCTTAAACACGGTCCCTACCCTCAACAAAAGGAAAATTCTTAATGAAGGCTATTAACTTAAAGAGTGTCAAAAACTTCTAAAGAAAATTGTTCCATAGATAAGGCCCACTTCTGCTAAACCCTCCAGCAAGTGACACAACTTTACAAATTACTCAATCTTAGGAATTAGAAAAGTCAAAAGACAATGGGCCCCAGATTCAAAATTGAGGAAGGGGCAGGCAGCCCCAGCCAGCTGTCTCCTTTTATTCTTTCTCTCCTTCCTCACACCCCGTGAAGCCCCATCCATTTCTTCTGCAGCACCATTATATTTTCCTCTTCAACACAGAGGTATCTGGCACTCATGTCAGAGGGCTCCAAATTTTTAACAACACAAGCTGTGCCATGCTGTTGTCCCTTCTGCCTCTCCCAGGGTGAGCTGGAAAGATCCCAACTGCAGAACCAGGCTAAAAGATCAGCCATCATTACTCTAAGATCCTTCAGAGGAGCAAAGATTGTGTAACTGTTACAGAAATTCAAACCAGTAGGGAAAAAAATTAGCATGAGCTGTCAGCAACGGCATACTTTAACATAATGATTCCCCCAAAAGAAAATGTTTAATATGAATTCCCAAGTGTATTTTGATGCCCTGTGTAATAATAAAACTGTTAAAATAGAGTTCCGGAGAACTATAGATAATTCAAAATAAGAAAGACCTTTTGACTGAGCTATCTGGAATTCTACATTCAACAGAATGTTTTGAAAGCAGTATTTGCTAAGGACCTGGGGGGGTGGGGGAGAAATGTCATAAAAGCATTCTTATAGAAATTCAAATAATGAACAAATGCCATTTAGGGGGAGAAAAATGGGACCAGAAAGTAAGGCAGGATTAATGACAGAGAATCCTTATCAGCACAAGCTTTAGAAAAGGTTCTCTTCCTCATTTCAAAAGACCAGTCTAAAAAGAGCTAATGCCACTTTGAAGTCAACTTAATAGTCTAACGGGAGCTGGAAATTTTAGCCATGTGCCAGTTACAAGTTGGAAGTTTCTTCCTTGTATGTTTGGCTAGAAAGTAATTTCTCAATTCGCCCACGGGATCCTTGAACACCATTATTTCACTGGGTCTTTAGCAGGTAGAGAGAAACTAAAGCACATTGCTGCTGACACTCATCCCTGTTCCAGACCCTTCTGCAAAGAATGACTGGCCCACATGGTCCCAGCCAAACTTTAAGAGGCCTGAACACATCTCTAGAGTCTAGAACAAATCATCCCGCCCCTTGTTTAAACTGTGAGCTTCAGTATATCCTCGCACCACCCAGTCCCCTGGTACTCTGAAGGAATCTGGCCCAGTCTCCAGTGGCCCCAGGATCTTGGCACTTTCAGATGCCCCTGCCTGTCTGCTGTCTGGCCCTGCCCACTGCAACCAATGCCTGCCTGTCGGAATGCAAGCCAGGTCCATTTTTAAATTCCCTTAGAAGTTTCACAACCACAGGTTTGGGTGATGAGACAAACAGTGCTGTAGTTTGCTGACATTAAACTAAAAATACCCAGCTGCAAACAAAAGCCATCTTTTATAGGGCTGGCTCGGATGTCCTGAGGTTACACGTGGTAGTGTGGGACCGTACCCTGGGCAGTGTGGCGGCCTTAACAACTGCTCCAGGCTGAGCCGGGCAGAGGAGCCGATCTCTCCCTACGCTGTCAAGGAATCTCGCAGGCGGCAGCCCGGCCTGTCTGATGGAAAGAACAGCTTTTTTCCTCTGCCCGGGACCCCAACGCAGGCTCGAGGAAAGTGTGAGCTACACACTAAAAGGAGAGGCGAGAGGCGAATGAAAAACACCAACCCCATTTCCCTGGAAGGAAATGTGTTTCCACCTCCCTCCTCCCTGCAATTAGAAAAGCAAATTATTGCTGTGACTACGCTGAGAAAGGCAACTCGGAGGCGTAAAAAATGGATTTCTGAGCCAACGTGGCCAGGCGGGGCTGCTGGGGAGAGGGAAATGGGAAGCGGGAACGGAGGCTGGGCCGGACTGGGACACTCCGGTGGCCCTGAGGTCTCCTCACAAGGGTCTACCTGTTGGGCTGCAGAGCCCAGCTGCGAACTCCCGGCCGCCGCGCGCGAGGGCGCCCCTCCCTCTGCAGGTCCCAAACTTTCTTTTGCGCCCCTCGGAAGGCGCAAGCCTCGGCCCTCTACTAGTCCAGATTTTGAACGTGGAACTTTTCCTTATGCCACCGGGGACTAAAGGGGGCTCATTCCCACACTGCCTGGGGACCCCAGGTGCTCAGAACCCATGACTAGAGGATGCAAACTCTCAGCCCAGGACCTGGCCAAAGTTTCCTCCAAAACTGCAGTGGTCAAGGCATGACTCTGGAGCTCAGAGTCCCCAGCTTAGAGTTTGGGGGTAAGGGGTGGAGCGGGCACCAGCCGCAAGGTCACTACAGAGCTGGGACCCCGGGGGCAAACAGTCGGAGCCCGGCAGAGGGGCAGCGAGGTGCCCAACCTCTCTCCACACCTGCTCAGCTCCGCGCCGAGCCCCGAACACGTGGGAGCCCAGTCCCGGGCTCCCAGGCTGCTACGGGGACTCGCATCCTCGCCCGGGCGTGCATCGTCCGCCCCGGCCCAGGACCAGGAAGAGCAGCTGGCCGGGCGCACAGCGGCGGGCTGCCGGCGCCTCTTTCATCCTCAGACCTCGGCCGGAGCCGGGAGTTTGGTTCTCCTCAAACCAATCCGTCACCCCCGGTAGCGCCCCACACCTCTACCTTTCCCTGCCACCTCGCAGACAGACCAGGGACACAAAGAAAAAGAAAAAAAAGAAGAGAGAGAGAAAAAAAAAAAAAAATACCGCCCCTCCTGGTCCCATCCTCCAGCTTGGAGCCGGGAGGAAGAAGAGGAAGGAGTACACCTTCCCTCCTCATCCCCATCCCGGCTCGGTGGCGCGGGCAGCAAGGAGCACCGAAGAGGCCGAGGGGGAAGAGATAAGGTTGGAAGAGGCAGAAACCAGGCAGAGCGAGCGAGCGAGCTAGAGCGCGAGAGAAGAAAATATCCAACAAAACCACGCTAACGCGCCCCCTACCTGGGTGCAACATACTTTGGAAATAGAAGATGACCAGGATAAAGGATCCCAAGCAAGTGGCCAGCACCATCCGGCAAATTCTGTTCATCCTCATCACTTCCAGCAGCGCCGGCTTCATGGCTTTGTCCTGGCTGCGGGAATCGGGGTGTCCGGGAGGCGCGCCCGGGGCGCAGGAGCAAGGAGCCCGCCGCGCGGACCGGAGCCCGGGAGGCGCAGGGCAGGGCTGGGCACGGCTAGCCAGGAGGGTCGCGCTGGCTTGGCGGCGGCTCTCGGAGCCCCCGGCCCGGGAGGGGGTGTGGAAGGCGCGGGAGTTGGTCTGGAAGTGCCGAGATGCGTGGACCGGCGGGCTGCGCGCCGCTGCTCCTCCTCTCCGCCTCCCCGCGCCGCTCCGCCGCCTCCTCCGCTCCCGCCGGCGGCCGCCGCTGCCTCCTCGCGGGCCGGGCGGCTGGGGTGCAAGCGGTGATGATGGTGCTGCCGCCGCTGCGCCTGTCGGACGGGACCCCTCCCTGCTCTCCGAAGGCTACTTCATTGCGCTCCAGTGATCTATATATTCCAGGGCTGGGTTTTACCAAATGCAACTCGCAGCCCCTGGCGAGGGGAGGGCGCCTGCGGAGAGCCGCGAGCAGGGAGGGAGGGAGCCGAGCGCCGGGGCGGAGCGTCGCGCTCCCCCCGCCTCTGCCCGGGATGTGGTCGCGTCCAGCTGTTTCCCGGGGAGCCCGGAGCGCGCGCCGCGCTCCCGCAGGGTCCCAAAAGCCCTCAGTCCCCGGCCCGGCTCAGCCGCCGTCTGGAGGTTGTGTCAGCGTTTCCATGACAAAACCTGGAGGAAAGAAAGATGAATAAAATCGCCTCGGTGCTGCCACCCACCCCAGCCAGCGTTAGGAAAGCGAAGTGGCAGGGAGCGGGCTCAGTTTCCGAGGGGGGACTGAGGGAGGGGTTCTGGTGACACGCGATTATCTAGATCCCTGGACGACGTAGCGGGGAAGTTGCCCTAAGCCCCTGCGACGCCCTTTTCCTGATGCCCAGAATGGGTAGGTTTCGCTTTTTGTTTTTGTTTTTTTCTTTCCGACGACAGCCCAATTTTAGGAAAGGGTTAAAGAGGGCTGCCTTAAAGTCAAGGTTAGGGAAACTGCATGACCCTCAGGGGTCAGGTGAGGCTGACCTTACCCAGAGACTTAAGCAGAGTCTGGAACATTTACCCTCAACCCCATCCCTCAAGGCAAAAGGGGTCTGTGGATCGAGCTCCTTCCAGATTATTCAAAGTGCACAGGAGTCTGAGGCAGGAATATGTGAGATGTCCCTAGGAAGCCGCCTCCTTCAAGTCCAACCCACTGCTGGGAAAACCGAGGCAGCCTTAGCATGGCGGGTAGACGGAAAGATGGTACTGCTTTCTTGGTTTGTGTAAACTGATTTAAAATGTCCAATTCCGTGCGTTTAGATCGTTTAGCCATCAATGAAGTGGACAGAGGCTATTAGTGTAAGGGAAAAAATGTTATTGTAAAGACTAATTTTTGTGCCTTACTGTCAAGTCATTACTGATAATAACTCAATTAATAATGAATTAAGATCTTGTGTCTTTCATTGCCTCTCACAAAATAGGCATTTGATGAATTCTGATTAAGTCTGGATGTAATGGGCCTTATCCTCCCCTCCATAAAACAGAGCCACAACTTACAGTCAGACACATACAGCAAAAACCACCTGTGTAACCTCAGTTCGCCTCCCCCAAAGTTTTCCTCCAGCAGTTGCATGGCTGGGAAAGTAACAGTCAGCGACCTTGCCTTTGATTACAGAAGACAATCAATTACAGCACAATATTTATGTTGCCTGTTTGTACTGTATTAATTTGTAGGCACTTGTGAATGAGTTGCTTGCTTGACAGGAGCCAGGCTGATCAAGCCCCAGTCATTCTCCAGTGAAAGATGGGAGATTGGGCATGGGAGCTGCACTGTCCCCACCGCCAGCACCAAGGGAGGGGATTCCTTACAGGGAGCGTGACTAGATGGGCACTTCATCTGGTTTTACAGAACCAGGGAGGGGAAGGGACTTGCTCACAGGTCACCCAACATGACAAAAAAACCACACTGCTACTCATACCCAAGCCTAGACATGCATCAGGTGGTTTGGGAAGTCACAGGACCATGGGAGAGGTCAGAAGTCTAAGTTCTTGTGGGTTGTGGAGGTCACAGAGTTGGCCCATATGGCAGGAGAAGATGGGGATCCATGCCCAGCATCCATTTTAACATTTCCGCAATGAGGAATTGGCCCATGCATGAGAAGTAAGGCTCTAACAGGTAAGTTACCACCTCCTCCAAGAAGTCTTCCCTGATTTCTCACCTGAAGTTGCCTCTTTCCTCCTCTGTGCTGACCACTAGATCCAAACCCGTCTTGGGCCACTGTACCCACTAGGCTGAACTCCTTCCTGGGGGCGCAAGTTGTCTTTCTCCAGGGCCCATAGTGACTGGCACGTGGTACAAAGATGTCGAAGATGGGAAGGTGATGCCTTCTTAGACAAGGAGGTTAAATCAGCTTACCTTTAACGTCTATGGTAATGGCCAGTGGTAATAGTCTGCAATCTCCTTGTTCTTTGCACACTGGGAATGAAAGGAAATGTTCTATTCTTATCTCCCGATTTGCACTGTCTCCTGCCCAACTGCCAGTAGAGGCACTGTCTGCTTTCAGTTCCCAGCCTAACAAAACTTGGTCACATCTGTTACTCATGCCACATAATAACTATTGACCAGATAAAAGACAGTGTTAACTGGTAGGACTGAGGTAAAAGGAGAAGATTTTACTCTTGGAACATTGAAAGAGGTCAGGCTTACTCTTCAGATTCTGTTTCCCTCCTTTCTCTAAATTCCCTTTTATCCTGACAGCTTCTGCATATCGGCACTGCGCTCATGGTGGGACCTGGCTTCATTCACTCACTCTCCAACAACGGACAAATAAAACTGGTATCTGCCTTTTTTCAAGCCTGGCACGGCCCTTTCTCCTAGTTGAGGAGAAAGTCCCATTTATGTTGACAATCTTGTAAAATTTATAGCAGAGGAAAACATAGGCAAAATCAGAATTCTGGCTTGTGGGGGCCATCAGCAGGGACCCTTCAGATAGTTCTGTAGCCCCTCCAATCCGTGCAGGGTGAGCTCGCCCCCATTCCTGTAGCTTAAGCCTACAATGTGCTGTCTTGTTAAGATACTGCAAACTGGCAGCGATGCCCCTTTCTCCACTTTGTTGGAGAGAGAGGTGGGCCCAGGGTACTAGTAAACAGAGAGCTCTTTAGCATCCTTGGGGGACGGTGGGATGTGTCTTCTGCCAACATCAGCCAAGGGCCCCAGACTGGCTCCTCCGAGGACTGGCTCTGCCCATTTGCATCTTTCTGGCACCTCTAGCACAAAGGACACTCAGTTAACCAGAGCACAGTAAATGTTTGTGGACTTGAATTAAAACCATTTGCCCACAGCATGCAGAGATCTTAGGGTACAAATTTTCTACAGGTAGGTAAACCGCAAATACACAAGTGGGTTACTCATGGCCTGACTCGGAGAGCGAGGTCTTCTCCCGCAGGCTTTTCAGAACAAGGTGAGGGAGGGAGAAAGGAAGAGAGAGAGGGATGGAGAAAGAGAGGGAGGACAAGAGAGAGGAAGGGGAGAAGGAAAGAGAGGAGACTGAGGGAGGGAAGACAAGAAGAGGAAAAAAGGAGGGGGGAAGAAGGAAGAGAAGAAAAAGGAGGGAGGAGAGAAATGCCCGCTACTACTGCAGCTCACTGCTGCTGCTGCCTTTGCTCCTACGCCCAGGTTAGGCCTCCACTCCCTCTCGGACCGAGGACCAAGTTCTGCTGGTCCTTAGGGCCCTGCACTAGGATGACTCCAGCTCCCTCTGGTGACCCTGGCCACCTTCTTGTCTTTAGGCACAGCCCAGAAATCAGTTCCCAGAGTTGCTCATCATTCCCCTCAAACATTTCTCAGCTGGTGGCCCCTCATAATCCCCAAACTTCATGGACTTAGAAGCCCTCTGCTCCACAACATCCCCCCACCACTGGCAATTCTAGCAGCCCTCCAGGGCCAGGCTATGTTCCAAGCTGTCTATGTATCTTCCCTCAAGATGGATTTCCAGATGGGCCAGTATTATCTCATTTTACAGAGGGAGAAACTGAGGCAGGAGAAGGTGGCATGCCACCCCAGGGTCACACAGCTGGTGTCGGCAAGTGTGAAGGTGAGGTTATAAAGGCAGAAGCCTGGCAGCTTCAGTGGCCCCAGGGCCCCACCTCCTCCACTGCTGTTCAGCCTGTTAGGCTGTGAGCTCAGGCAGGCCAGGTTGTCCTCTGTGTCCTGGGGCAGGTCACTTCACCTCTCTGAGCACCACTTTTTAGAGCTGCCTCATAGGACATAGGAGAGGATGACATGGACTCAGTGGCTATAAGGCACAATCACTGTGATTTTTTTCTCCCCCCACCCCTTTGCCACAGCCTCCTGCAGCCCTTTGACCCACCTACCAGACCATCTAGCTCTTTCTACTGGGTCTTTCCAGGACCCCTTCCGGCCTCTTGCAGTTCCCCATTTACAACATTAGCATTTCTTGAGCAACCTTGACATTCATGGCATGCTAATTTATTGAAATATTCATTTGTGTTTGTTCTCCTGGTATTTTTCACTGCCCCTCCATTTCCTACAGGCTTTGTGCTACCCTTCCTGAGGGATTTGATGACGGCTTTCTGGGAGAAAAATGTTACACTAGGGGAAAGATAATGCCAGAGAGGGCAGGGGGGATTTAGGAAGGGAAGGGTGAGTACTCTGCTGCTTTACGCCCTGGGAGGCAGACGGGCTCTGGTGCTCTGTAGGCAACAAGGGAGGCTGAAGCCCAGGTAGTGGCCTCACTGTCACCAGGGATTCGAGTGCCCTACACATGGTACAAAGTTGCAAAACTTCTGACCTGAGAGAGCTTCAAGAACAGAGACAAGCAGATGCTTTGGAGTTGACCATGTGACCAGAAGGGCCACCCAGCCTCTGGTGCCAGAGCCAGATTAAGACACTGAGAACCTCTGAGCACTGGGAACTTTCTGATGGACCACTGCCACTTGTAATTCAAAACAGAAGTAACCTTAAAGCAGAAAGTACATTTAAAAAAAATGAACCACTTCAGATTTTTTTCCTGATGCTTTTTTCTCCTAGCTTTATGGAAGCATAACACACATAAATAAAACCTATTCAAAGTTTACAGTTGGCTACATTTTGGCAATTGTCTACAAGTGTGTACAAATCTTTCTTGCCCCTTTTTAGTTGATCCCTGGCTCAGACCCTGGCCCCAGGCAACCACTGATCATCTTGCTTTCACTATAGTTGTGCCTTTTCTACAATTTCTTAAAAGTGGAATCACATTGTAGGTAACCTGCCATGTCTGGCTTCCTTTGGCTTATCAAAGTTATTTTGAAATGCACTCACCTTGCTGCATGTATTAATATTTACGTCCTTTGGCTCGGCACCTGTGGCTTAAGTGGCTAAGGCGCCAACCATGTACACCCAAGGTGGCGGGTTCGAATCCAGCCCAGGCCTGCCAAAC